CTAGCAGAAATCTATCTAAATCTATCTTTCATCTTAAACAAATGACATTTTCTGAATTGTGCAGTTCTGTAGTTCAGTGGTAAGAGCGCTCACCTTGTAAGTGAGAGATCTGGGTTCGCTTCCCCTCTGGGGGAAACGTTGGGCAAGTTTCCTTACTTCACACGTACCCACACGCCTCTGTTTATCAGAAGTAAGTAGAAACCTGGTTGTTAGTCGATTGGCGGATTGCTTTTCTGGGGGTAATAATTCCTTCAAAACTTTTGTCCACAAATATAGTCAATTCACCTGACAGTAATTCTGTGAAGCGCTTTGAGACATCTCAAAGACGTGATAAGACGTTAGATCAAATGCAAGGATGAATATTATTATTACATTGTGATATTTGGTGATTGACTGTTGTGTGTTTTTGTATTACAGAGCAGGTGGGAGCTTTCAGTCTGACCGTCACTGAGAGTCAGATAGAAGCCACAGCCGGACAATCTGTGTACTTCCTGGTAATGCCCAGTGAACAGGGAAATTTTAGTATAATATGGAAAGTCAACACCAGCTCCACAATCGCAACAGCACAGGGAACAACAGTGAAAGTACTATGGAGACTACCAGGGTCGGGCTGAGCTTTACCCCAACAATGCCCACCTACGTCTGGACACAGTGACTCCGGGCTGATTCCGGTTCGTACTCAGTTCGTGTATGACTTTATCCTCGGAGCAGCCTCAGCAGATTTACAACTGCGTGTTCACAGTGAGTAAACAACAACAGCGCCCTTCACGCGGAGTGTCCCGGAGCACTTGGCAGGGCCGAGTCTGACCCCGACCCGGGGGGAGAGGGAGAGGGAGCGGTGACTGTAAACACGATCAAACTGGAAGGTCTTTAGGCGCGATTGAAGTGGGAGGGAGGGGCGAGGCGTTGGGATTGAGGGAGAAAGTGACGCAGTGGCTGAAGACACAGCCATTGATGGTGGAGTGGAGGGGACGAGGGACAAATAAGACAAGGATGGAACCAGCCAAGAGGAGCACCGAGAGGTGCAGTGGGGGTGAGCAGGTCGGAGAGTTAGGGCAGTTCCATGGCATGAAGGGATTTGAAAACGAGTGAGATGATCTCAAAATCGATCTGTTTGGTGATACGGAAACAGTGGAGCCTGGCGAGGCGGGGGTGATGGGGTACAGAGTTTAGTGTGTGATAGGGAGCCAGTGGGGCCTGGCGAGGCGGGGTGATGGGGTACAGGGTTTAGTGTGTGATAGGAAAGCCAGGCAAGTGCCAGTGGATCTTGGGAGCAAGAGAGGGGGGGGGGGGGGCGGGAGAGAGAGAGAGGAGGGGAGAGGGAGGGGGAGAGTGAGGAGCAGAGACGTATTTGCTCTGCTCTCCTGACAGACTGCAGTAAAGGCTCTGGTCGCTGGGTCTCCCAACCATCAGCTCCTGCCGCTGACCAGGGAGGGAGGGAGGGAGGGAGTGGAAATGGCCTCAGGTTGGATGTGGCTCGTGGATCTTTGACAAACGGGAATCCGGCCCACGGCAGCCACCCTGCTTCAGAGCATCGGTGAGAGCAGGGTGGGCCAACTGGTGGCCCACGGGCCGCATCCGGCCCCCGGGCCCATTTCATCTCATTCATTAAGCCAATAAACCTGGACTGTGAGCTCCCAGAGTGTGGCTTTAAACCATAAAATTGTGCTACCAAATGAGCCAAACTGAGACCTGAATAAACAGTGAATCATAACAAACAGCGTCAGAAATAAAGTGTAGGGTTCAGCAAAGTGACTCCGAACAGGTTTGTGACAGTGAAGTGAATCTGAACAAGTTTCTGAATGAAATGAAACTCGTTATCTTACAGCCCTGGTGTCCAATGTGAGCATCAGCCTGAGTCCAGACAAGGAGATATTTATCGAGAACGAAGACACAGTGACACTGAGATGTACAGCGATGGGATCGTTCCTCACCTATTCCTGGGCACTGGATGGACACCCGTTACCTGTAACCCCACGTTACACACTGTCTGCAGATAATAGCACTCTGACAATCAGCCCCGTACACAGGAACGACAGTGGAGGGTTTATCTGCACGGCCAGTAACCTGGTGGGCAGTGACAGCAGCAAACCGGTGGCCCTTACCATACAAGGTGAGCTGGACCAATACAAACAAAAGGCAATACTGCAGATGCTGGAAATCTGAAACAAAAACAGACGTCGCTGGGAACACTCAGCAGGTCAGGCGGCATCTATGGAGAGAGGAAACGGGTCAACGTTTCAGGTCCACGACCCTTCGTTCTGACATTCTGATGAAGGGTCGTGGACCCAAAATGTTGACTCACTTTCCTCTCTCCATAGATGCTGCCTGACCGGCTGAGTGTTCCCAGCGACATCTGCTTTTGGACCAATGGAAAAGTGCGTCCTTGTCATGCGGAGCCCACTCCAATATTATATTGTTAATACAATCTACAATATTATATTATTAATACAATCTACAATATTATATTATTAATACAATAATAATACAAGAGTCTCAACGACGGGATAAGGCGCTATATCAAATACGAGTATTGTCATTATTATTATTAGAAACCCGGTACAAATAATAATGTACTTTCCGGCCCACGGGCCTCACTGACGTCACTGTGGGGCGCTCGGCTCAGGACACGCAAATGGGCTTCACTTGGATTCACCGCTGTTGTGATTGTTTGCGTCTGTGTGTGAGTGTGTGTGTCTCTCTCTTTGTGAGTGTGTCTCTGTGTCCGTGTGTGAATGAGTGTGTGTGTGTGTCTCCCTATATGCATTTGTGAGCTATGTGTGTCTCTGTGTGACTGTGTATCTCTGTTTGTGAGTGTCGTTGTGTGTCTGCGTCTCCGTCTGTGTGTTTGTGAATGTCCCTTTGTGTGTCTCTCTATGTGTTTGTGAGTGTCTCTCTGTGTCTGTGAGTGCGTCTCAATCTATGGGATATGCTCCCAACGTGAAAGGCGCTATACAAATGTGTGTGTTGCTCTCCGTGTCTGTGTGTGTGCCTCACTCTGAGTCTCTGAGTGTGTGTGTCTCTCTGTGAGAGTGTGTGTCTCTCTGTGTTTCTGTATGTGCGTCTCTGTGAGCGTATGACTCTCCCTGTGTGTGTGTGTGTGTGTGTGTGTGTCTGTCTCTGTGTTTCTGAGTGTGTGTCTCTCTCTGTGAGTGTGTGACTCTCCCTGTGTGTGTGTGTGTGTGTGAGACTGTCTCTGTGTTTCTGAGTGTGTGTGCCTCTCTCTGTGAGTGTGTGACTCTCCCTGTGTGTGTGTGAGTGTGTATCTCTCTCGCCCACACCGCCCCAAAAAAAAACCCACCCAGTCCTCGGTAAAGAAGCAATTATATTTTTCCCCAACAATGTAACATGTTCACTTTTTATCAATAAAGTGAAAACATGTTCATCAAAATCCCCGATCAACTCCCCGCCATTTTCTGCAAAATGTGTCAAAAATGCCCAAATCGCCCCACAATTTTTACTTTTCTTGGCCCAGATTGTTGTTCGCATAACTACTGGTGTAACAATACTACTAACTACAGAACTGCATACTATGTACGGAGACCTGTAGCTCAGGGGTTAGAGCACTGGCCTCGAAAGTGAGAGGGTTTGATTCCTGGCGTAACGATGGGCAGGTTTCCTACTCCATACGTCTCTGTTTAACAGCAGTCAGTAGGAACCCAGTTGTTAGTCGATTGGTGGATCACTTTTCCGGGGGCAATAATTACTTCAAAAAAATAAAATAATAATAATAATTTGGTCACTCAATCCACAACTGTTTCTGGGGATGTCATTGGGCTCAATTGAAAGCCGCGTTTCACCCACAAGTTACACAGTATATTCTGTGAAGTGCTTTCAGATGTCTCGAAGATGTGATAAGTCGCTGTATCAAATGCAAAGATTATTATTATAACAACAACAGCTTACATTGATATAGCCCCCTCACGCAGGATAGCGTCCCAGAGCACTTGATGTCTGAATTAAGGGGGAAAAATAATAACACTAACAGTGTCGGAAATGCAGTGCAGTGTTAGTAAAGTGAATCAGAACAGCTTTGTGTTAAGCTTTGTGTCTGAATGAAATGAAACGCTTTATCTTACAGCCCTGGTGTCCAATGTGAGCATCAGCCTGAGTCCAGACGGGGAGATGATGATAGAGAATAAGGACACAGTGACACTGAGATGTACAGCGATGGGATCGTTCCCCACCTATTCCTGGGCACTGGGTGGACACCCGTTACCTGTAACCCCACGTTACACACTATCTGCAGATAATAGCACTCTGACAATCAGCCCCGTACACAGGAACGACAGTGGAGGGTTTATCTGCACGGCCAGTAACCTGGTGAGCAGTGACAGCAGCAAACCAGTGAAGCTGGTGATAACTTGTGAGTATATTTGCTGTGGTGTTAAAACCAGATCAACGTGAGCTGAACAGGACAGTGCAGTTGGCCCACGTATATCCCTACTTGTTCCAGCCTGGCTCAGCTCTCTATAAGTCAGAAGGTTGTGGCCTCACGTCAGTACTTGGAACTCATGTAGTCCAGACTGAAGCTCCAATGCAATGCTGGAATATTCTACATTGGGGTTTGATGCTGTGAATAGAGAAACAAACAGTGGGGTCCTGTAGTGGTTGGAGCCCTCACCTCGCAAGTGAGAGGACTTTGGTTTGATTCTCACCAATCGACTAATAACCGGGTTCCTAATTACTGCTCAGTAAACAGAGGGTGTGTTTGGGAGTAGGGAAACTGGGCCGACGTTTTGCTCTGTCAATAATATAATAATCCTTGCATTTGATACAGCGCTTTTCACGTCTTCTGGACGACTGAAACGCTTCACAGAATACACTGTAAAGTGAATTGACTGTATATGTTATGAGCAAAACGCAGCAGCCAATTGCACACAGCAGCGACCCACAAACAGTCAGAGGTCTGTGATACATGTAAAAAGGCTGTTTCTCTCACGCTATCATCTGCCATCCATTTATCTATCTATGCCATAGTTTAATGCTTATTCTTTCAGATGGCCCTGATCCACCCACAGTTGAAGTGATCGGGCTGGAGCTATGTGGCAGCTTGTTCTCAGGCCACTACTGTGGGAAGGAGGGAGATTTAGTGACACTCAACTGTCAGACGAAATGTTTCCCAGAGTGTAACTACAGGTGGACACATAACACCGCGGTCATTGCCGGCAACACCTCACAGCTGCCTATAGAGAGCCTCACGTTCCAAAGCAGCGGGGATTACACTTGCAATGTGGAGAGCGATTACACCACGATTAGCCGCACGGAGAAGGTTTCAATCCTCGTGTACAGTGAGTTAGATCTCAGTCAAAATTGGCACTGTGTAAACAACACATGACATTTACACAGTGGCTTTCACATCAGGAGGATGTCCCAAGGCACTGGACAGTCAGGGACCCACACCTGAGCTGGGGGTTGCTATCAGGAGGGTTGGAGGGTGGGGAGGATGGGTGTAGGAGGGTGAACGAAGGCACAGTCTGTCAAAGAGGAGGATCTTGAGATAAGTTTTGAAGGAGGTGAGGGAGATGTGGCAGAGGGATTGTGGGAGTTTCAGAGGGTGGGGGCAGAGAGACTGAAGGCCCGACCGCTGATGGTGAGGAGGGCCGGGCGGGGGTCATGGAGCAAGGAGGAGCCCAATAAGGGGAGGTTGGTCAGGGGTGAGGAGGTCACAGAGGTAGGGAGGGAGGAGTGAGGCCATGGAGGGCTTTAAAGCTGAGCACCAGGAACTGGAACAGTATCCTCTGAGGGATGGGGAGCCAGTGGAGCCGGGCGAGGGTGGGGACAACTCAAGGTGGAGCCAATAACTGGACTGTTTGTCTTTGCCTTGTTCAAGGGGCTCCCACACAGCAGATCACATGCGGAGCAGCAGATAAAGGAACAGCATTGGTGTTGATGTGCTCCTGGGCTGGTGGGGTGCCAGACACTGTCCTTCAGCTGAAGGTCGGACAGACGATTGTCATTGAGACAAACGAGGGGAATGTCACCATCACAAAGGATCAGCTCAGCTCCCGAGAGATCTTCACATGTGTTGGACGCCATGTTGTCTCTGACAGTCAATGCTCTATAGTCATTGGTGAGGACTTGAGGGCTGAACAACAACAACGATGACAAATTACACTTGTATAGCGCCCTTCACGTCGCAAACACGTCCCGGGACGCTGCACAGTCAGGGTTTTTGGACCTGAGCTGGGAGTTGTGGTCAGGAGGGGTGGAGGGCAGTGGGGTGGGTTTTGGGGTGGGAGGGTGGCTGAAGGTGCGGTTGGTCGAAGAGGAAGGTCTTTAGATGGGATTTAAGATGTCTCGATGGCGTGATAAGGCGATGTATCAAACAGGAGGATTATTATTATTCCTACTGACTGTTGGGGTGACTGTGTTGCTGTTTTGCTGAACGCCGTCTGTGCTGTTACACAGATAAACCCCAGAGAGCGTCAGGGTCTGAGCCTCAGGTGGAAGTGGGGAAGGAGGCAGATGTGACCTTAGACGTGTCACTGACAGACACAGTGCGGGTGTCAGACCCTGGCCTGCTGCCCGCACACTTTACATGGTCGAAGGAAGACAACTCCATCACTGGCTCTGACGGCAAGTTCAACATCACCTCAGGACTAACCTTCTCTAAACTGCTCATCAGTAAATTCCAGGCAACCGATCAGGGCACATATCAATGCCGTGTCACTAACGCAATGGGAGAGAACTTCTTCCAATTTGACGTGACTTTGAAAGGCGGAGGTAAGTTATGATATGTTGACACACACACAGACACACACACAGACACACACACTTACACAGTCACAGACACACACAAACTCACAGACAGACATGTACACCCCACCGCAGACAACAGACACACACACACACATACACACACAGACGCGCACCTCTGTTTATCAGCAGTAGGTAGGAACCCGCTGTTAGTCAATTGACGGTTCACTTTCTGGGGGTCATAATCCCTCCAAAAAAACAAAAAATCTGGTCAATCAATCCACGACTGTTTGTGGGTCACCGCTGTGCGCAATTGGCTGCTGTGTTCCGCCGACAAAATACAGTTACGACACTTTACAACGACGTGATAAGGCGCTGTATCAAATGCGAGGATTGCTATGATTTACATGAGGTCTGTGCTGTGGTCTCTATGTTACGAGAGTATAATCTAATAGAGAGACAGTGAAGGTGTTTCTCTCCGCAGTGAATGTGGCCCTGATAGTGGGGACAATAGTGGGGGCTGTGGCTGTGGTGGTCATTGCAACACTCGCTGTGGTGTACGTTTACAGGAAACGTAAGGAAGGTGAGGCCGTATATACACAGGAAAACCTTTCACCTTCATGTTCTGTAGTTTATATACCAGCCCAGACCCCCCTCAGCCACTCACCCTCTCACTGTCCTCTCCATCTATCAGTCTCTACCCCTTCATCTCACTCTCTTTCACTGTCAGTCTCTCCCCCTTCATCTCTCTCTATCAGTCTCTTCCCCTCTGTCTCACACTCCCTCTGTTAGTCTCTATCCACCTCCGTCACAAACTCAATCAGTCTCTATCTTCTCCGTCTCACTCTTCCTCCATCAGTCTTGACCCATCATCTTTCTCTCTCTCTCTATCAGTCTCTCCCACTCCATTTCACCATCTCCTCTCTATCACCCTCCATCTCACTCTCTATCAGTCTCTATCCATCCATCTCCACCTCTCTCTTTCAATCGCTCCCTCTTTGTCTTTCTGTCAGGCTCTAACCCTATCTCTCACTGCCAATCTCTCTCTTTCTCTCTCTCTCTCTCTCTATCAGTCCCTCCCTCTCCATTTCTCTCCAAGTTAACCGGTTCAGCAAATGTACAAACTTGTAGATTTTCAAGATTTTCTACGATTTCAAGATCCTCTCACTCGTTTTCAAACCCCTTCATGCCCTGGCACCTCCCTACCTCTCCGACCTGCTCACCCCCACCCCACACCGGCCTCCTATTTGTCCCTCGTTCCCTCCATCCCACCATCAGAGGCTGTGCCTTTGAATAAACAAGTTGTTGTTTATTTTCCAGCCAAAACACAGCAAGAGACAGAGGGTGAACCACACTACGAGACCATTGATGTCAGAGTAAGTCCTGTGCAGTCCTGTAGCTCAGTGGTTAGAGTCCTCGCCTCTCAAGCGAGAGGATCCGGTTTTGTTTCCCGGACAGGGCAAAACCTTAGGCAATTGGCTCCTCTTTGATACGACTCAAAGACGTGATAAGGCACTGTATCAAATGCAACGATTATTATTATTATGAAACCACACAGTCACTACTCTTTACCGTGTATCCTGTGAAGCGCTTTGAGATGTTATGAAGACGTGATAAGGCACTGTATGAAATGCAATGGTTATTATTATTTACTGCTAACGACATTGCTAATGAATAGCTAAACTGTGTTTGGTTATATTTTAGGCTTCCTCTGCCAATGTCTCCCAGAAGGATTCAGGCCCTTACATGGTGAGGAAACAAATGGCTGACACGGACAGTGTGTCAGCCCGGCTCAGTCTCTTGCTGTCCCACCTCTGTCCTTTACGACCCTAAACTGTCCTTCATCCCCTCATCCGTGCCATGACCTGCTATGCCATCCCCACCTCCGCCATATTGCCCGGCTCCGCCACTGTCTCTCACCACAGGCCACCGAGGCCCTCATCCATGTGTTCACCACAAACAGGCTTGACTTTGCCCACTCCCTGCTTGTCGGCCTCCCCAACGCCTCCCTCTACAAACTGCAGATCATCCAGAACTAACTCTGCAGCTCCCCATACCCCCTAACAACCTGTCCGCTCTCTCTGCTCAGCGGGCTCCGGCCTGCTTCACATCCCCCGCCTCACCTGCCCCACCATCGGTTGGGCCTTCAGTTACTCTGCCCCACCCTCTGGAACTCCATCCCACAGTACCTCCATCCCACCCCATCACTCCCTCACCTCCTTCAAGGCCTGTCACAAGACTTTCCTCCTCAACCTGGTCACCTTCCTAACGCCTACATCGCCACTATCCACCCCGTCCTGATCCCAACCCACAGCTCAGATCCAAATCCCTGACTGTCCAGGTCCTTGGGACGTCCTCCTGATGTGAAAGGTTCAGTGTAAAATGTTGTTGGTAATGGTCTGTCCGATCTGCATTGTGTTTCAGGACCTTGGAAAGCACCAAAAAGATATTTATCACAATTTACGTCGTAATGGCACCAGGAAGTAGATAGCTGTGACAACGTAGATCGATTTCAAGATCCTTTCAATCATCTACAAATCTCTTCAGGCTCTGGCACCTCCCTACCTCTCTCTCCGACCTGCTGACCCCCCCAACCCACTACCCACTGCCTCCTCTCGGCTGCCTCCGGCCTCCTGCGTGTCCCTCGTGCCCTCTGATCCATCATGGGGGGTCGTATTGTCAGACTTTGGAGTTCTCTCCCCCGATCTCTCCGCCTTTCCACCTTTCCTCCCCTCTCCTATCCTCGTCCCTCTTTCTCACGACTGAACATCTTTCTCTTTGACCATGCTCACGGTCACCTACTCCCTGTCTCTCCCTGACTCTGCGTCAGGCTCCACCACTCCGAGACGCTACCCTCGTAAAGGGCGCTGTGTAAATACAAGTTGTTATTGTTGTTGTTGTTGTTGTGACTTATCGGCTCACTGAGAAGTTAATGTTATTTACCAGGAGTTCAGTATTCAGGGTGAAACGTTGGGCAAGTTTCCTTACTCCACACACACAGACACATACGCAGACACAGACTCACACACACACACATACTCACAGAAACGCACACACACAGACATACACACACAAACAGACATGCACACACAGACACACACACGCGCGCGCGCCTCTGTTTACCAAGCAGAAAGTAATCTCGCTTGTTAGTCAACAGCCAATTAATTGCACAGAGGTGTCCCACAAACAGTTGTGGATTGAAGTGACCAATTTATCTTTTTTGCAAGAATTACTATTATTATTATCACTATTATTATTAGTGAGAGACCTGAGTTTGATTCCCGGCCGGGCGAGGCCTTGGGTAAGTTTCCTTACTCCACACCCTGATAATAATCCCTCAAAAAAAACAATAATAAATTGGTCATTTCAATCCACGACTGTTTGTGGGACACTGCTGTGCGTAATTGGCCTCCGCATTTCGCCCACAAATTTATGCAATCAATTCACAATTCTGTGAAGCGTATGGAGTCGTCAAGAAGATGTGAAAAGCGCTATATCAAATGCAAGGATTATTATTATTATTATTATTACCATTATTATCCCAGCCAGCTGCAGGCAAGGTACAGGAATCTGAGGCCACGAGCCAGCTTTATGAGTGAGCTAATCTTACAATGGCTTTCACTTCCACATGAAATCACTGCTTCAAACCAACTGAAACCTTTGAGCTGTACAGCGATTAACTCCAGACATTCCTAACTCACAGGTCACTGAGCTCCGGGTGGTTTACCTGTCAGGGGTTTTATCGTTGGAGTCCTGCAGCTCAGTGGTTACAGCACTCGCCTCACAAGCGAGAGGACCTTTGTTCGATTCCTGGGCGGGTCGGGGCATAATGTCCTTATTTCACACGCACACGCCTCTGTTTACACTGCAGTAAGTAAGAATACGGTTGTTAGTCGACTGGTGGATTACTTTTCTGCGGGTAATAATCCTTACAAAAAAATAATATATTGGCTGCTTCGATCCACGACTGTTTGTGGGACACTGCTGTGCGCAATTGTCTGCCGCGTTTCGCCCACAAATATACAGTCAATTCACTTTACAGTGTACTCTGTGAAGAGCTCTGAGATCTCGACGTGTTAAGGCGCTATATCAAATGGAATTATGGAATCACAGAATCTTACAGCACAGGCGGAGGCCATTCAGCCCATCGTGTCTGTGCCGGTTCTTTGAAAGAGCTGCCCAATCAGTCCCACTCCCCCGCTCCTACCCCGTATCTCTGCATATTTTTCCTTTTCAAGTCCCTGTCCAATTCCCTTTTGAAAGCTACTATGGAATCTGATTTCATGAGCCTTTCCGACAGTACGTTTCAGATCGTAATAAATCGCTGCGTAAATGTCCCCTCGTCTCCCCTCTGGTTCTTTTCCCAATTATATTAAATCTATGTTCTCCCGTTACTGACCCACACACCAGTGGAAACAGTTTCTCCCTATTTACTCTATCAAAACCCCTCATCATTTTGAACACCTATATTAGATCTCCCCTATCCTCCTCTTGCTCTAAGGAGAACAATCTCAGCTTCTCTCGTCTCTCCACATTTCTCTCTTGTTATCTTCTTCTGGTAATAAAATTCCTTTGGTTTGACCGCAATAATTCCATCTTGTGTCAGAGGTAAGGAGTGTGGTGGGGTGCACACTAACCCTGACAGTCACTACACAGTCTCTGAACACACAGTCACTACACTTTACAGTAGCATATCCTGCTGAGCTCTTTGAGCCGCTTCAATTAAATGATAATTGGCTGCTGTATTTCGGCTACAAAATACAGTCACTCCACTCTACAATGTGTTCTATGAATGAGATGTCTCGACGACGTGATAAGGCGCGATATCAAATGGAATGATTATTATATTCACGTCAGGAGGACATCCCAAAGTGCTGGACAGTCAGAGGTTTATACCCAGGTTGGGGGTTGGGATCAGGAAGGGTAGAGGACGGGGAGAGTGAGGGTAGGACAGTGACCAAAGATGTGATGGTCGACGAGGAAGGTCTTGAAACTGGCCTTGAAGGAGGCGAGGGAGGGGGCGGAGAGGCTGAATGCCCGACAGCCAATGGTGGGGGAGGCGGGTGGGGGATGTGAAGCCGGCCGGAGCCTACTGAGTGCAGAGAATGGACAGGTTGGTAGGGGGTGAGTTAGGAGTTCACAGAGGTGGGGGGGAGTGAGGCCATGGAGTGCTTCGAAGGTGAGGACCAGGAGCTTGAACTGTACTCTCTCAGTGATGGGGAGTCAGTGGAGCCGAACGAAGATGGGGGTGATGGGGTAACGAAACATGACCCTGAACACATCCCTAAACAGTCACTGAACACATCACAAAACACACACTAAACTTGTGTCTCAGTGAGTATCTTGTGGAGTCCCTGTAGCTCAGGGGTTAGAGCGCTCGCCTCGCAAGCGAGAGGATCTGGGTTCGATTCCCAGGTGTGTCAGGGCAAAACCTTAAGCAAGTTTCCTTACTCCACACACACACTTTTTACTCACACCTCTGTTTATCAGCAGTCAGTAGGAACCCGGGGGTTAGTTGATTGGGGGATCGATTTCCTGGGGGCAATAATATCTTTTAAAAAATAATAATAATGTGGTCACTCAATCCACAACTGTTTGTGGGGACGTCGCTGTGTGCAATTGGCTGCCATGTTTCAGCCCCCAAAACACACAGTCACTCCACTTTACAGCGTATCCTGTGAAGCGCTTTGAGACGTTTCGAAGATGTGATAAGGTGCTGTATCAGATGGAAGGATTATTCAAAATTTTTTGTAACTAATACGGCACTCAATCCTCTACTGTTTGTGGAACATTGCTGTATGGAATTGGCTGCTGCGTTTCTCCCACAAAACACAGTCACTACATTTCTCAGTGTATCCTGTGAAGCACTTTGAGAAGTCTCAAAAACGTGATAAGGCGCTGTGTCAAACGCAAGGACTATTATTATAATAATATTAAAAATAGTGAGGGCGTAAAATGTGTCTTACAGGAAGTAAATCTATTTATCTCATAAATTAACATATTAATTCCTGACAAAGTGAAAGTGCACCGGGTGCCATTAGAGCCAGTGTCAGGGTCTCTCTACAGTAACAGTAATGATTAACAGCAGACTCTGCCCTGCGTTCAGGTGACAGCCCATATTCAGTTTGTCTCTGTCTCTCTCCCTAACGTGTATATGTGGTGGTTTCCAGCCGCGAGGATGTTGGTGGCTGCTCTGCTCATTCTGGTCACTAATTTGGGTGAGTTACTGGTAACAACATAAGCAAAGGTCCATCTCGTTCATCTCCCACCGTCCTGGCAGTCGTTCGACATGTCCCAAACTATATACTGTGTGTGTCTCCCACTGTGTGTGTGTGTATATATATCTCTGTCTGGATGTGTGTGTCTGTCTCACAGTGTATGTCTCTGTCTGTGTGTGTGTGTGTGTGATTATCTGGGGGGTGTCTGTCTCTCGGTATGTTTCTCTATCTATCCGCGTGTATCTATGTCTTTCTGTATGTGTCTCTCTGTGTGTCTCTGTGTATGTGTCGCTCTCTGTGTGTGTCTGTGTTTCTGTCTCTCAGTGTGTGTGTCTGTGTCTCTGTTTGTGAGTGTGTGTGTTTCTCTCAGTTTGTGAGTGTGTGTGTGTCTCTGTGTCCGCGTGTGTATGAGTGTGTGTGTGTGTCTCTCTATATGCATTTGTGAGTGTCTATGTGTGTCTCTGTTTGTCTGTGTATCTCTCTGTTTGTGAGTGTCTGTTTGTCTGTGTATCTCTCTGTTTGTGAGTGTCTGTGTGTCGTTGTGTGTCTGTGTCTCCTTCTCTGTGTGTTTGTGGATGTGCCTGTGTGTGTCTCTCTATGTGTGTGAGTGACTCTCTGTGTCTGTGAGTGTGTCTATCTATGAGATATCCTCCCGACGTGAAAGTCGCTACACAAATGGTACCTCTCTCTGCCTCTGTGTGTGTGTCTCTGTCTCGGTGTGTGTGTATGTGTCTGTCTCCTCTCTCTCTATGTCTTTCTGTGTGTATCTGTGGGTCTATCTACTGTATCCCAAGCTATTATTTTCTAGCAGAAATCTATCTAAATCTATCTTTCATCTTAAACAAATGACATTTTCTGAATTGTGCAGTTCTGTAGTTCAGTGGTAAGAGCGCTCACCTTGTAAGTGAGAGATCTGGGTTCGCTTCCCCTCTGGGGGAAACGTTGGGCAAGTTTCCTTACTTCACACGTACCCACACGCCTCTGTTTATCAGAAGTAAGTAGAAACCTGGTTGTTAGTCGATTGGCGGATTGCTTTTCTGGGGGTAATAATTCCTTCAAAACTTTTGTCCACAAATATAGTCAATTCACCTGACAGTAATTCTGTGAAGCGCTTTGAGACATCTCAAAGACGTGATAAGACGTTAGATCAAATGCAAGGATGAATATTATTATTACATTGTGATATTTGGTGATTGACTGTTGTGTGTGTTTTGTATTACAGAGCAGGTGGGAGCTTTCAGTCTGACCGTCACTGAGAGTCAGATAGAAGCCACAGCCGGACAATCTGTGTACTTCCTGGTAATGCCCAGTGAACTGGGAAATTTTAGTATAATATGGAAAGTCAACACCAGCTCCACAATCGCATCAGCAAAGGGAACAGCAGTGAAGTACTTTGGAGACTACCAGGGTCGGGCTGAGCTTTACCCCAACAATGCCACTCTACGTCTGGACACAGTGACTCCGGCTGATTCCGGTTCGTACTCAGTGTCTGTGTTTGACTTAATCCTCGGAGCAGCCTCAGCAGATTTACAACTGCGTGTTCACAGTGAGTAAACAACAACAGCGCCCTTCACGCGGAGTGTCCCGGAGCACTTTGCAGGGGCCGAGTCTGACCCCGACCCGGGGGGGGAGAGGGAGAGGAAGGCGGTGACTGTAAACACGATCAAAATGGAAGGTCTTTAGGTGCGATTTGAAGGTGGGGAGGGAGGGGCGAGGCGTTGGGATTGAGGGAGAAAGTGACGCAGTGGCTGAAGACACAGCCATTGATGGTGGAGTGGAGGGGACGAGGGACAAACAAGACAAGGATGGAACCAGCCAAGAGGAGGCACCGAGAGGTGCAGTGGGTGGGTGAGCAGGTCGGAGAGTTAGGGCAGTACCATGGCATGAAGGGATTTGAAAACGAGTGAGATGATCTCAAAATCGATCTGTTTGGTGATACGGAAACAGTGGAGCCTGGCGAGGGCGGGGGTGATGGGGTACAGAGTTTAGTGTGTGATAGGGAGCCAGTGGGGCCTGGCGAGGGCGGGGGTGATGGGGTACAGAGTTTAGTGTGTGATTAAGGAGCCAGTGGGGTCTGGTGAGGGCGGGGGTGATGGGGTACAGAGTTTAGTGTGTGATAGGGAGCCAGTGGGGCCTGGCGAGGGCTCAGGTGATGGGGTACAGAGTTTAGTGTGTGATAGGGAGCCAGTGGGGTCTGGTGAGGGCGGGGGTGATGGGTTACAGAGTTTAGTGTGTGATAGGAAAGCCAGGCAAGTGCCAGTGGATCTTGGGAGCAAGGGAGGGGGGGGGAGAAAGAGAGGGGGGAGAGAGGGGAGTGAAAAAGAGTGGGGGCAGAGAGAGGGAGGGGGGGAGAGGGAGGGGGAGTGTGAGGAACAGCGACGTATTTGCTCTGCTCTCCTGACAGACTGCAGTAAAGGCTCTGGTCGCTGGGTCTTCCCAACCATCAGCTCCTGCCGCTGACCAGGGAGGGAGGGAGGGAGGGAGGGAGTGGAAATGGCCTCAGGTTGGATGTGGCTCGTGGATCTTTGACAAATAGGGGAATCCGGCCCACGGCAGCCACCCTGCTTCAGAGCATCGGTGAGAGCAGGGTGGGCCAACTGGTGGCCCACGGGCCGCATCCGGCCCCCGGGCCCATTTCATTTCATTCATTAAGCCAATAAACCTGGACTGTGAGCTCCAAGAGTGGGGCTTTAAACCATAACATTGTGCTTCCAAATGAGCCAGACTGAGACCTGAATAAACAGTGAATCATAACAAACAGCGTCAGAAATAAAGTGTAGGGTTCAGCAAAGTGACTCTGAACAGGTCTGTGTCAGTGAAGTGAATCTGAACAAGTTTCTGAATGAAATGAAACGCGTTATCTTACAGCTCCGGTGTCCAATGTGAGCATCAGCCTGAGTCCAGACAAGGAGATATTTATCGAGAATAAAGACACAGTGACACTAAGATGTACAGCAATGGGATCGTTCCCCACCTATTCCTGGGCACTGGATGGACACCCGTTACCTGTAACCCCACGTTACACACTGTCTGCAGATAATAGCACTCTGACAATCAGCCCCGTACACAGGAGCGACAGTGGAGGGTTTATCTGCACGGCCAGTCACCTGGTGGGCAGTGACAGCAGCAAACCAGTGAAGCTGGTGATAACTTGTGAGTATATTTGCTGTTGTGTTAAAACCAGATCAACGTGAGCTGAACAGGACAGTGCAGTTGGCCCACGTATATCCCTACTTGTTCCAGCCTGGCTCAGCTCTCTATAAGTCAGAAGGTTGTGGCCTCACGTCAGTACTTGGAACTCATGTAGTCCAGACTGAAGCTCCAATGCAATGCTGGAATATTCTACATTGGGGTTTGATGCTGTGAATAGAGAAACAAACAGTGGGGTCCTGTAGTGGTTGGAGCCCTCACCTCGCAAGTGAGAGGACTTTGGTTTGATTCCCACCAATCGACCAATAACCGGGTTCCTAATTACTGCTCAGTCAACAGAGTTTGGGAGTAGGGAAACTTGGCCGACGTTTTTCTCTATCAATAATATAATAATCCTTGCATTTGATACAGCGCTTTTCACGTCTTCTGGACGACTGAAACGCTTCACAGAATACACTGTAAAGTGAATTGACTGTATATGTTATGAGCAAAACGCAGCAGCCAATTGCACACAGCAGCGACCCACAAACAGTCAGAGGTCTGTGATACATGTAAAAAGACTGTTTCTCTCACACTATCATCTGCCATCCATTTATCTATCTATGCCATAGTTTAATGCTTTTTCTTTCAGATGGCCCTGATCCACTCACCTTTATTGTGAGTGGGCAGGTGATATGTGACAGTTTGGTCCCAGGACAGTACTGTGGGAAGGAGGGAGATTTGATGACCCTCAACTGTCAGACGAAATGTTTCCCAGAGTGTAACTACAGGTGGACACATAACACCACAGTCATTGCCGGCAACACCTCACAGCTGCCTATAGAGAGCCTCACGTTCAACAACAGCGGGGATTACACTTGCAATGTGAAGAATGATTACACCACGATTAGCCGCACGGAGAAGGTTTCAATCCTCGTGTACAGTGAGTTAGTTATCTCAGTCAAAAATGTCATGGTGTAAACAACAACAGTGGCTTTCATATCAGGACGACGTCCCAAGGCACTGGATAGTCAGGGATCCGCACTCGAGGTGGGGGTTGGGATAAGGAGGGGTGGAGGGCGGGTAGGGTTGGAATAGAAGGATGACTGGAGGCATGGCCGGTCGAAGAGGAAGGCCTTGAAATGGGTCTTTAAGGTGGCCTGGACTTGGGTATAGAGAGCACAATTGCCAAGTTTGGAGCCTGGGCAGGACTGGGGTGATGGGGGTACAGAGTTTAGTGTGTGATCAGGAGCCACACACATGATACTAAGCTAAGAAAAGTAGTAAACAGTGAGGAGGAGAGTAACAGACTGCAAGAGGACATAGACAGACTGGTAACATGGGCAGACATGATGAAGTTTAATGTGGAGAAGTGCAAAGTGATGTATTTTGGGACGATATACTGTAAAGTGAATTGCCGGTCTATTTTGTGGGCGAAACTCTGCAGCCAATTGCACACAGCAGTGTCCCACAAACAGTCGTGGATTGGGGCAGAGAGGCTGAAGGCCCAACCGCTGATGGTGGGGCAGGTGGGCGGGGGGCATGAAGCAGGCCGGAGCCCGCTGAGCAGAGGGAGCGGAGGTAAGGAAGAGGAGTGAGGTTGTAGAGGACATTCAAGGTGAGGACCAGGATCTTGAACTGAAGCAGAACAGCTTTGTGTTAAGTAAAGTAAATCCGGATGAAATGAAACACTTTATCTTACAGCTCTGCTGTCCAATGTGAGCATCAGCCTGAGTCCAGACAAGGAGATATTTATCGAGAATAAAGACACAGCGACATTGAGGTGTACAGCGATGGGATTGTTCCCCACCTATTCCTGGGCACTGGTGGACACCCGTTACCTGTAACCCCACGTTACACACTGTCTGCAGCTAATAGCACTCTGACAATCAGCCCCGTACACAGGAACGACAGTGGAGGGTTTATCTGCACGGCCAGTAACCCGGTGAACAGTGACAGCAGCAAACCAGTGAAGCTGGTGATAACTTGTGAGTATATTTGCTGTGGTGTTAAAACCAGATCAACGTGAGCTGAACAGGACAGTGCAGTTGGCCCACGTATATCCCTACTTGTTCCAGCCTGGCTCAGCTCTCTATAAGGCAGAAGGTTGTGGGTTCAAGCCTCACGTCAGCACTTGGAACTCATATAGTCCTTCCTCCACTCATAGAAACACACATAGACATGGCTCTGCTGACCTGCAGTAAGTGGGAACCTACTTGTCAGTTCATTGCCGGATCACTTTCTGGAGGTAATAACCACTCCATAAAATGTCAACCAATTGCACACAGCAGTGTCCCACAAACAGTTGGGGATTCAGGGACCAATTCATTAATATTATTTTTTGAAGGAATTTTTACCCTCGGAAAAGCGATCCATCAGTCGACTAACAACTGGGTCCCCACACACTGCGAGGTAAACAGAGGCGTGCGGAGTAAGGAAACTTGCCCAATGTTTTGCCCTATAAATAATATAATAAACCTTTCATTTGATGCCGCGCTCTTTACGTCTTTGAGACAACTCAAAATGCTTCACAGAATATATTGTAAAGTGAATTGACTGTATATTTGTGGGTGAAACACAATTGCACACAGCGTCGTCCCAAAACAGCCGTGGATTGAAGTGCCCAATTTACTATTAGTTTCTTTCTGGAGGGGTTATTATCAGGCGTGTGGAGTAAGGAAACTTGCCCAAGCATTCGCACCCTGATGGGAATTGAACTCAAGTTCACTTACGAGGCAAATGCTCTAACCACTGAGCAACAGGACTCCACTATTGTTATTATCATTGAAGAGCCGCTGTTTGGATGAGACGTTAAACTATCTGCCTGTTCAGGTTAAAGATCCCATCACTATCTGAGTGTCAATCGGCCACTTGACTGTAGAGGGCCCCACAGACAAACCTAATCTCCCCACCAGACTGCAACACCCACACTTGAGCCCGAGAGGGAGTTTAGGGACCAGGAGCAGGAACCCCGACTCGCTTTAAACTCCATGACCCAAAGTCAGCCTCACGTGACCTGAGCTGCAATAACAGTAAAGATAATAACAATAATAATGATCATAGTCATGATCATCAGAATAATAATCATTCTTGCACTTGATATATCGCCTTATCAAGCGAGAGGACCTGGGTTTGATTCCCGCGCAGGTCAGGACGAAAGCTTAGGCAGGTACATTACTCCACCCAACACTCGCCCCCACCCCCACCCCCCCACACACATACACCCCACTGTTTAGCAGCGCCAATGTCTTGGGACGTCCTCCCGACGTTAAGGACGCCCTATAAATGTAATATTATTGTTGTTGTATTTTGTTGTTTACCTAACAGTAAGCGGGAACCCTTGTTAGTCGATTGCCAGATCACTTTTCCGAATGTATTAACCCCTCCAAAAAAAACACCTCCTCACGTCTCAAATCACTTCACAGAATATACTGTAAAGTGAATTGACTGTATATTTTATGGATGAAACACAACAACAACAACAGGATTACATTTGTATAGCGTGTTTCACATCGGGAGGATGTCCCAAGGCACTGGACAGTGACAGCATTTCAGACCCGAGCTGGAGTCACGGGGGGAGAAGGGAGGGGCGGGGAAGGGGGATGGCCGATGGCATGGTCGAAGAGGAGGGTCTTGAGGCGTGACTTGAAGGAGGCTAAGGAGGGCGTGAAGCGGAATGACTGGGGGATAGGATTCCAGAGGTTGGGGGCAGAGTGGCTGAAGTCTCTCCCGCCAATGGTGGGGTGGGTGGGTCGGGGGACGGCAGCCAATTGCGCACAGGAGGGACCCACAAACAGTCGGAGGTCTGTGATACATGTAAAAAGGCTGTTTCTCTCACACTATCATCTGCCACCCATTTATCTATCTATGTCATCACTTAATGTTTTTCTTTCAGATGGCCCTGATCCACCCACAGTATATATGAGTGGGCAGGTGATATGTGACAGTTTGGTCCCAGGACAGTACTGTGGGAAGGAGGGAGATTTAGTGACGCTCAACTGTCAGACGAAATGTTTCCCAGAGTGTAACTACAGGTGGACACATAACACCACAGTCATTGCCGGCAACACCTCACAGCTGCCTATAGAGAGCCTCACGTTCAACAACAGCGGGGATTACACTTGCAATGTGAAGAATGATTACACCACGATTAGCCACACGGAGAAGGTTTCAATCCTCGTGTACAGTGAGTTAGATCTCAGTCAAAATTGGCACTGTCTAAATAACAACACATGGCATTTACACAGTGGCTTTCACGTCAGGAGGATGTCTCAAGGCGCTGGACAGTCAGGGACCCACATCTGAGCTGGGGTTGCTATCAGGAGGGTTGGAGGGCAGGGAGATGGGTGTAGGAGGGTGACCGAAGGCACGGTCTGTCGAAGAGGAGGATCTTGAGATAGGTTTCGAAGGAGGTGAGGGAGGCGTGGCAGAGGGATTGTGGGAGTTTCAGAGGGTGGGTCAGAGAGGCTGAAGGGGATGGGCGGGCGGGGAACATGGAGCAGGCCGGAGCCCGCTAAGCAGAGGGAGCGGACCGGTTGGTCAGGGATTAGGAGGTCACAGAGGTAGGGAGGGAGGAGTGAGGCCATGGAGGGCTTTAAAGCTGAGCACCAGGATCTTGAACAGTATCCTCTGAGGGATGGGGAGCCAGTGGAGCCGGGCGAGGGTGGGGACAACTCAAGGTGGAGCCAATAACTGGACTGTTTGTCTTTGCCTTGTTCAAGGGGCTCCCACACAGCAGATCACATGCGGAGCAGCAGATAAAGGAACAGCATTGGTGTTGATGTGCTCCTGGGCTGGTGGGGTGCCAGACTCTGTCCTTCAGCTGAAGGTCGGACAGACGATTGTCAATGCGACAAACGAGGGGAATGTCACCATCACAAAGGATCAGCTCAGCTCCCGAGAGATCTTCACATGTGTTGGACGCCATGTTGTCTCTGACAGTCAATGCTCTATAGTTATTGGTGAGGACTTGAGGGCTGAACAGCAACAACGATGACAAATTACACTTGTATAGCGCCCTTCACGTCGCAAAGATGTTCCAGGACGCTGCACAGTCAGGGTTTTTGGACCTGAGCTGGGAGTTGGGGGCAGGAGGGGTGGAGGACAGGGGGGTGGGTTTTGGGGTGGGAGGGTGGCTGAATGTGCGGTTGGTCGAAGAGGAAGGTCTTTAGATGGGATTTAAGATGTCTCGATGGCGTGATAAGGCGCTGTATCAAACAGGAGGATTATTATTATTCCTACTGACTGTTGGGGTGACTGTGTTGCTGTTTTGCTGAACACTGTCTGTGCTGTTACACAGATAAACCCCAGAGAGCGTCAGGGTCTGAGCCTCAGGTGGAAGTGGGGAAGGAGGCAGATGTGACCTTAGACGTGTCACTGACAGACACAGTGCGGGTGTCAGACCCTGGCCTGCTGCCCGCACACTTTACATGGTCGAAGGAAGACAACTCCATCACTGGCTCTGACGGCAAGTTCAACATCACCTCAGGACTAACCTTCTCTAAACTGCTCATCAGTAAATTCCAGGCAACCGATCAGGGCACATATCAATGCCGTGTCACTAACGCAATGGGAGAGAACTTCTTCCAATTTGACGTGACTTTGAAAGGCGGAGGTAAGTTATGATATTTTGACACACACACAGACACACAACCACAGACACACACACACACACACACACACACACGCAGACACACATAGACACACATACACACACAGATGTGCACCTCTGTTTATCAGCAGAAGGTAGGAACCCGCTGTTAGTCAATTGACGGTTCACTTTCTGGGGGTCATAATCCCTCCAAAAAAACAAAAAATCTGGTCAATCAATCCACGACTGTTTGTGGGTCACCGCTGTGCGCAATTGGCTGCTGTGTTCCGCCCACAAAATACACAGTTACTACACTTTACAACAACGTGATAAGGCGCTGTATCAAATGCGAGGATTGCTATGATTTACATGAGGTCTGTGCTGTGGTCTCTGTGTTACGAGAGTATAATCTAATAGAGAGACAGTGAAGGTGTTTCTCTCCGCAGTGAATGTGGCCCTGATAGTGGGGACAATAGTGGGGGCTGTGGCTGTGGTGGTCATTGCAACACTCGCTGTGGTGTACGTTTACAGGAAACGTAAGGAAGGTGAGGCCGTATATACACAGGAAAACCTTTCACCTTCATGTTCTGTTGTTTATATACCAGTCCAGACCCCCTCAGCCACTCACCCTCTCACTGTCCTCTCTCTCTGCCAGTCTCTACCCCTCCGTCTCTCTCTATCTGTCTCTAGCCCCTCCATCTCACTCTCTTTCACTATCAGTCTCTCCCACTTTGTCTCTCTCTCTCTATCAGCCTCTCCCCCTCCATTTCACCCTCTCTTTTCTATCAGTCTCTACCCCTTCTCTCTGTCACCCTCCATCACTCTCAGTCTCTCCCTCTCCATTTCACCCACTCTTTTCTATCAGTTTCTACCCCTCTCTCTCTATCACCCTCCATCTCACTCTCTGTCAGTCTCTATCCATCCATCTCCCCCTCTCGCTATCAATCACTCCTCCTCCGTCTCACTCTCTCTCACTTTCAGTCTCTCCCTCTTTATCTCACTCTGTCAGTCTCTTCCCCTCTGTCTCACACTCCCTCTATTAGTCTCTATCCACCTCCATCACAAACTCAATCAGTCTCTACCCTCTCCGTCTCACTCTTCCTCCATCAGTCTCTCCCCCTCCATCTTTCTCTCTCTCTCTATCAGTCTCTCCCACTCCATTTCACCCTCTCCTTTCTATCAGCCTCTACCCCTGTCTCTCTATCACCCTCCATCTCACTCTCTATCAGTCTCTATCCATCCATCTCCCCCTCTCTCTTTCAATCGCTCCCTCTTTGTCTTTCTGTCAGGCTTTAACCCTATCTCTCACTACCAATCTCTCTCTCTCTCTCTGTCTCTCTATCAGTGCCTCCTTCTCCGTTTCTCTCCAAGTTCACCGGTTCAGCAAATGTACAAACTCTTGTATATTTTCAAGATTTTCTACGATTTCAAGATCCTCTCACTCGTTTTCAAACCCCTTCATGCCCTGGCACCTCCCTACCTCTCCGACCTGCTCACCCCCCACCGCCCCCACACCGGCCTCCTATTTGTCCCTCGTTCCCTCCATCCCACCATCAGAGGCTGTGCCTTTGAATAAACAAGTTGTTGTTTATTTTCCAGCCAAAACACAGCAAGAGACAGAGGGTGAACCATACTACGAGACCATTGATGTCAGAGTAAGTGCTGTGCAGTCCTGTAGCTCAGTGGTTAGAGCCCTCGCCTCTCAAGCGAGAGGATCCGGTTTTGTTTCCCGGACAGGGCAAAACCTTAGGCAATTGACTCCCCTTTGATACGACTCAAAGACGTGATAAGGCACTGTATCAAATGCAACGATTATTATTATTTTTGAAACCACACAGTCACTACTCTTTACCGTGTATCAAGATTTCAAGATCCTCATCCTCACCTACAAGGCCATTCACGGCCTTGCTCCCTCCTACCTCTCCAACCTACTATCCCCCTACCTACCTGCCCGTACCCTCCGTTCCTCTGGCTCCGGTCTGCTCCACGTCCCCCGCCCCAATCGCCCTACCATCGGTGGTCGGGCCTTCAGCCTCTCAGCCCCCAGGCTCTGGAACTCTATCCCCCAGTGCCTTCGCCGCTTCCTCCCTTTCCTCCTTCAAGGCCGGTCTCAAAACCTTTCTCTTTGACCGAGCCTTCAGCTCCCCTCTCGACTCTCTTCCCCCTCCTCGCTCCCTCCCTTCCCTCCCCTTACCCTGACCATTTCCCCCCTGCTCGGGTCATGACCCAACTGTGCAGCGCTTGGGACGTCCTCCTGACGTGAAAGGCGCTTTATAAATGGAATCTTGTTGTTGTTGTTGTTGTATCCTGTGAAGCGCTTTGAGATGTTATGAAGACGTGATAAGGCACTGTATGAAATGCAATGGTTATTATTATTTACTGCTAACGACATTGCTAATGAATAGCTAAACTGTGTTTGGTTATATTTTAGGCTTCTCTGCCAATGTCTCCCAGAAGGATTCAGGCCCTTACATGGTGAGGAAACAAATGGCTGACACGGACAGTGTGTCAGCCCGGCTCAGTCTCTTGCTGTCCCAACTCTGTCCTTTACGACCCTAAACTGTCCTTCATCCCCTCATCCGTGCCATGACCTGATATGCCTTCCCCACCTCCGCCATATGGCCCGGCTCCGCCACTGTCTCTCACCACAGGCCACCGAGGCCCTCATCCATGTGTTCACCACAAACAGGCTTGACTTTGCCCCCTCCCTGCTTGTCGGCCTCCCCAACGCCTCCCTCTACAAACTGCAGATCATCCAGAACTAACTCTGCAGCTCCCCATACCCCCTAACAACCTGTCCGCTCTCTCTGCTCAGCGGGCTCCGGCCTGCTTCACATCCCCCGCCTCACCTGCCCCACCATCGGTTGGGCCTTCAGTTACTCTGCCCCACCCTCTGGAACTCCATCCCACAGTCCCTCCATCCCACCCCATCACTCCCTCACCTCCTTCAAGGCCTGTCACAAGACTTTCCTCTTCAACCTGGTCACCTTCCTAACCCCTACCTCGCCACCATCCACCCCGTCCTGATCCCAACCCACAGCTCAGATCCAAATCCCTGACTGTCCAGGTCCTTGGGACGTCCTCCTGATGTGAAAGGTTCAGTGTAAAATGTTGTTAGTAATGGTCTGTCCGATCTGCATTGTGTTTCAGGACCTTGGAAAGCACCAAAAAGATATTTATCACAATTTACGTCGTAATGGCACCAGGAAGTAGATAGCTGTGACAACGTAGATCGATTTCAAGATCCTTTCAATCATCTACAAATCTCTTCAGGCTCTGGCACCTCCCTACCTCTCTCTCCGACCTGCTGACCCCCCCAACCCACTACCCACTGCCTCCTCTCGGCTGCCTCCGGCCTCCTGCGTGTCCCTCGTGCCCTCTGATCCATCATGGGGGGTCGTATTGTCAGACTTTGGAGCTCTCTCCACCGATCCCTCCGCCTTTCCCCCTTTCCTCCCCTCTCCTATCCTTCCCCCTCTTTTAGATCAAGACTGAAAATCTTTCTCTTTGACCATGCTCACGGTCACCTTCTGCCTGTATCTCCCCTCCAACTGGCTCTGCGTCAGGCTCCACCACTCCGAGACGCTACCCTCATAAAGGGCGCTGGTGTAAATACAAGTTGTTGTTGTTGTGACTTATCGGCTCACTGAGAAGTTAATGTTATTTTACCAGGAGTTCAGTATTCAGGGTGAAACGTAGGGCAAGTTTCCTTACTCCACACACACACACACAGACACATACGCAGACACAGACTCACACACACACATACTCACAGAAACGCACACACAGACATACACACACAGACATGCACACACAGACATACACACGCACACGCGTTTGCCTCTGTTTACCAAGCAGTAAGTAGGACCTCGCTTGTTAGTCAGCAGCCAATTAATTGCACGTGCACAGAGGTGCCCCACAAACAGTTGCGGATTGAAGTGACCAATTTGTCTTTTTTGCAAGAATTACTATTATTACTATTCATTGCTGTGCGCAATTAGCTGCCGCGTATCGCGCACCAAACCACAGTCACTACAATTCACAGTGTATTCTGTGAAGTGCTTTGAGACATCTCAAAAACGTGATAAGGCGCTGCGTCAAACGCAAGGACTATTATTATAATAATATTAAAAATAGTGAGGGCGTAAAGTGTGTCTTACAGGAAGTAAAACTATTCATCTCATAAATTAACATATTAATTCCTGACAAAGTGAAAGTCCACCGGGTGCCATTAGAGCCAGTGTCAGGGTCTCTCTACAGTAACAGTAATGATTAACAGCAGACTCTGCCCTGCGTTCAGGTGACAGCCCATATCCAGTTTGTCTCTGTCTCTCTCCCTAACGTGTATATGTGGTGGTTTCCAGCCGCGAGGATGTTGGTGGCTGCTCTGCTCATTCTGGTCACTAATTTGGGTGAGTTACTGGTAACAACATAAGCAAAGGTCCATCTCGTTCATCCCCCACCATCCTGGCAGTCGCTACACATATCGTGTCCCAAACTATATACTGTGTGTGTGTGTCTCTCCTACTGTGTCTATGTCTGTGTGTCTGTCTATATACTGTATCCTGAGATATTATTTTCTTGCAGAAATCTATCCAATTTGATCTTGAAATAAATGACATTTTCTGCTTCCGCCGTCTGTCTCCTTCGGGATCCTGTTTCCCACTCTCTCACTGAGGTGGTGTTTCCACAGAATTGTTCTGAATTGTGGAGTCCTGTAGCTCAGTGGTTGGAGCACTCGCCTCGAAAGTGAGAGTCCTGGGTTTGATTCCCGGGCGGCACAGGGCGAGAGGTTGGGCAAGTTTCCTTACTCCACACACACGCGCCTCTATTTACCGAACAATAAGTACGAACCACTTGTTGGTCGGTTGGCGGATCGCTTCTCTGGGGATAATAATTCCTTCAAAATAAAAAATTGGTCACTCAATCCACGGCTCTGTGTGGGTCGCTATTGTGCACAATTGGCTGAAAGGGTTCACCCACAAAATATACAATAATTCACTTTACAGTACACCCTGAAGCGCGTTTCAGACGTCTCAAAGACGTGATAAGGCACTATATCAAATGCAAGAACTATTAATATAATATTAATAATCATTCCATTTATACAGTGTGCACTGCAGTGCCAAAAACAGTCATGGTTTGAGTCATCAATTTATTACTTTTTTGAAGGAATTGTTATCCCGAAAAAGTCTCTAATCGGTTAACAACCGGGTTCCGACTTACTGCGAAAAACAGAGGCGTGTGTGTGAAGTAAGGAAACTGCCCAACGTTTCGCCCTTCCGCCCGGGGATCAAATCTGGGTCTCCTCACTTGCGAGACGAGTGCTTGAACAATAACTAAAGGATTATTATTAATATTGTTATTTTTATATTGTGAGATTACCTGGTGATTGACTGTTGTGTGTGTTATGTGTTACAGAGCAGGTGGGAGCTTTCAGTCTGACCGTCACTGAGAGTCACATAGAAGCCACAGCCGGACAATCTGTGTACTTCCTGGTAATGCCCAGTGAACAGGGAAATTTCAGTGTATCGTGGAAAGTCAACAGCATCTTAATCGTATCAGCACAGGGAACAACAGTGAATTACTCTCCAGACTACCAGGGTCGGGCTGAGCTTTACCCCAACAATGCCACTCTACGTCTGGACACAGTGACTCCGGCTGATTCCGGTTCGTACTCAGTGACTGTGTTTGATATAAACCACGGAGGAGCCACAGCAGATTTACAACTGCGTGTTCACAGTGAGTAAACAACAACAACAACTTGCATTTACACTGCGCCCCTCATGTGGTGTAGCGTCCGGGAAGGCTGGACAGGGAGAGGGGAGGTGATGGTAAACCCAATCAAAAAGGAAGGATATTAGGCGGGATTTGAAGGTGGGGAACGAGAGGGGGAGACGGAGGGATTGACAGGGAGAGAGTGATAGAGTTTCAGGGCGTAACAGCTGAAAATACAGCCACCGATGATGGAGCGGAAGGGGCCGAGGGGCAAACAGGAGGGTGTGATGGCCCCCGGACCGATTTCATTTCATTCATTCAGTTCAGTGTGGTCCAACAGGCGGTACGTGGGCTGTCAGCTGCCCGGAGGTGATTTTGTGCGGCCGGCGACCATTTGCAATGTTCCAACTTCCCCAAACCCCCTCCCTCCCTCCCTCCCTGGTAAATGTCCTCACAGGGCAGCGGCAGGAGCCGGCGTTTGGGAGAATGCAGCGAGCAGAGCCTTTACTGCAGGAAGGCAAACGAGTCTCTTACCAACTGCGCCCTTGGGCTCCTGCCACTGCAGATTGGGAGAGACAGATTGCGAGAGAGAGAGGGGAGAGAGAGAGGGGAAAGAGAGGGAAAGGGAGAGGAGGGGAGAGAGAGGGGAGAAATAGAAGGGGAGAGAGTGGGAAAGAGAGGGCAAGAGACGGGGGAAGTGGGAGGGGGAGAGGGATGAGAGAGTGGGGTTGGGGAGTGAGTGGGGGGGGAGAGAGGAGGAGAGAGAGGAGTAGAGACACACTTGCTCTGCCTTCCTGATAGACTGCAGTAAAGGCTCTGCTCACTGGGTCTTCCCAACCATCAGCTCCTGCCGCAGCCCAGGGAGGGGGGGAGGGAGGGAGGAGAGGAAGCGAAGTGGAAATGGCCTCAGGTTGGATGTGGTCTGTGGACCTTTGTC